AGGGAGGAGGCGTAGGCACACTGGCTGACCAAGCGTGTGCCACACACGGAGGGGGTTGGGAGTGTATTTTCACATTAATTAGACTCCAAGGAACGAGGGCGTTTATAGGATCTCACAAAGAAATGTCATGTAAAGAACTAGGCAGCCTGCAACCCGATTCTCATTCCTGAATAGGAGGTATTATCTGGCTAGGGTGCACCTTACCAAGTTAGACAACTGTATCTGAGATTGAGCGCAGTGCCTCTCTCATAGCGTGGAGTTATTTACGCGGTCGGATCTCGAATACACGGGAGATGTCATAAAGGCCAAATTAAGAAGGCGCCATGGAAAGTATTACCACCGGGGGAAGGGGTATGCTCTCGCCCAATCAGTCACCGAGGACATGATAATGCTCACTGGAACGGGGTTTTTTTTGCCGACAGACAGGCACATGTGCGTCGGGGAGGGAAGAGCAAGACAACACCTCAGCACATCCCTAAATGCAGCAAATCTGACCCGTCTGAAGCAGTCACCATGCGCCAAAATTAGTGGTTCGGAGGGCCGCTAACCCCCTCCCCCACCGGTGGTACGAGGGGCATATTTTCCGTGGCATCTTAAGGTGGCCTTTATAAGATACTCTAAGTATCCTAGATTCGAGTTCGTAACTACGTATGCTATAAGGAAGAGTGGACGTGTGGGGAGGTAGTTTTTTTGCTCTGATCAGGTCATAGAACCGTGGAATAACGTACCCGAGACGATTGTTATGTTGCCATCTGTGAAGACATTCAAACACCGACTTGATATGCATATGCTGCACCACAATGTGACCAATTAACTTTAAAACACCAGCGAACAGTAAGACTCTGTCTGCACTCACTTACCTGTAAGCTCTTTAAATTGTTTCTGATTCTTGAGATTTTTATGTGAAACGTTGGGAATTTAGAGGCCTAAGCCTGTTTTTCTCAACTACACTGACTGACTGACCTTCAAGACAACGGCCGCAGGATGACCACCCTCCAGGCCAAACTCATTTCAAAAATTCTAGATTATCGCAAAGTGAGCAGGTCACGCCGTCATGCCAACTTCTACGGCACCAGTGAAATAAATAACGGAGAGTGTGTTGACGAGGACCGTTCTGAATCCCCAGTCCATACGCACTGCTTCCATCTACCAAGTATATTATTTCACCCCTAACCTGAGCCCTGTCTTTGCTAGGCCTGTACCACCACTCGACGTTTAGCTTAACAATCGCCACCCACAGTGAGTCTTTCCCTATGCAATAACAATAAACAATGAGGGCCAGCATGACACATCGACACTAAACAGGATACCGGTTAGTGGAGGTCTGACAATCGCAAGAAATGAGAACCAATACGATCAGGGGCGAGATCAGTGGTGACTTGCGCGCAAATTGGGTTATAGCAAGGCAAACGTGTGTGGCAGTGACAAAACAAAGGCAAAATGATTGAAAATTAGAGTATGTGTGTGCAGTGGGTTGAATTCGCGTCTACGCGGGCCATACGCATACGATGGCCCCCCACACTCGCACGAATTAGACATAAAAAGAACGGGTTTGGAATCTCTGATTGAAAATGGTTGTCAAAAGTGTTGTGCTATGCAGAGATCATTACATGCTAATCGTCAAATTAGGGAAGAACCCAAGGGGAAGGCCTTCTTATAGAGCCCGCCTAACGGCAAACGTTTCCCCGTCCAATTTTTTTACGGAATCAAAGGGTGGGGAAAACTAGTGGTCATATAGGTGCGCGATAACCGCGCAATAAGAGAGTAAAGCCGCTTGTAATTGTTTACTAAACTAAAAATGTAGATGAAAAGGCGGTGTAAAGGATAAAAAAAGACTGAGAGTGGAAGCTATAGCCCAAAAGTAGTAGAGCAACTTTTATGGATTAACATAATCAAGGAATTTTTTGGACAGACGAAAATTCGACCGACTGAAAATTTTGAAGTAGTTTTTTTTATTAATGACAGACAAAAGCGGCCTCACAAGAAAGCCCTACCGAACTAAGTTACACCTCTTAGCACGCCCAGAGTCCGTGGCGTGAACTTAGACGACTTGACTAGGAAAAGAACCATCTTAACTGAATTTGTAATCTGATTACAGCAATTAGTCTTATAAATAAATAAATAGGGGTAAGAGATGCGTGGAAAAATCTAGGTTTATCATGGCCAGGAGTCTTAAATACCTGTTAAAAAATGTCCAGCCTCGGTTTCTGTATCTTCCACACGTCGCGATCGCTGGCGATTTTTCCCCCGAAATGTCACACAGACCGAAGTCATGGCCAGCATTGTGCAGATCATTACAATTGCCTGAACAAGCAGGGGAGTGGGAAAAGGGTGGCCAAACCTAACAAAAGTCAAGAAGAATCAGTGTGACTTGACATCGCTAACAGGAGAAAAAAAGGGGATATTCAACAGCAGATATTTCCTACCAAAATGCGATGCGCAGTATATTGGCGACGAGTAGGGTGAGGCAGACAAAAGAAGAAAACCCATCAGAATTTTCGAGAGATTTGATTTCGAGATACTGGGGAATGTAGGGCAGAGCACCACCGAAAACAATAAATAAGGGTAGAACTGATTTTGTCAAGTCAAACAACGACCAAAAAACTGAAAGCATCTTCTCACGACCTAAAAAAAGGAAGAAAAAATTGTAGTAAGTATAGGAGTAGAGGAGTAAATGTTCTCAAAAAATTTAGACTAAATTACTTAGCTTAACGAAGAAACCGTTCTATGAATATGAAAAAGCTAGGAGTTACAAGCCGGCCAAGAATATCTATATTTAGAACGATTGCAAAGGAATTTTCAACGGTAACTGTAATTGAAAAATTAACAACAATTAGACAAGCCACAAGACTCTGTAGATGAGTAGGGGATAATCGGGTAGGGTATAACTGCGGATGTGTTCATGTTATTGAAAAAGCAAATAATACACTGTTGATTTTTAACCTTAGTTTAGCATTCACAATGTTCGTGACCTTTAAAGATACGTAAATCGACACATAAATATCTTGGCAGGATCATTTTCTCTCCCTAAAAGTATGCTCACAGAAAAGACGACCTTTTGACTAAAGGTTTCTTAACAGACGTCAAACAAAGAAAAATCGCTCTGGTAAATCATCATGCCTTCAAAAATAATTTGGAGTAAATCGAATTTTCTCATATCGAGGAAACAGAGATTGTGATAAGTTAAGTTACATTTCAGTTTTCAAAGCACTGTGGTAGGTATCCGAAGAAAACGAAAAGTTTTCGAGCGGACAGACGATTTATCCAGGACTTTAGATAAGCTAGACCATCAAGCCGATGATATTGACGGAAATTTTAAAAATCACGCGAACTTGGGCAATTGAAAATAATTGTATGCATACAATACTATGACGCCAATCTTTAAATTGTCAGTTTTCTTGGGGTAGCAAATAGGTTCCAAATCAATGCCATTCTTTGGCTGTATTAACCCCTCAGTGCTATAGATCAGAGGTGATAAATGTATCAGCTCATAACGGGAAGATAGGATACTGAAATAAAAGTGAGAAGCCAGAGTTTTAAAGAGAGGCAAATGTTTTGATCGTTTGTTAAAAGAACCGAAATGATTTGGTGAGATAAAATTTATTTTATGGCTAAAGATCCAAGAGGCAGATCTGATACAAAGACGGCGCACTAGGGACCTGCTACTCTCAGATGACTTAATTGATAGCGATAAAGTTTGCTAAGGGCTGCCGACCGATGACTTCTTTTGCTAAAACATGTTGTTCCGGCGCGACTCTCGTTCCCGTTTAAGGTCAGGTGGATTAACGGAGGGGAGGGGCTAAGCATGGTGTAGAGGAAGTTACCTTGTTACTCCTAAGAGGGGTCGTCTACCAAGTTAGCTTATAACCGCTGGGCGATACATACTAAGGAAATTAGACCCGGTGAAAAGGGACCACGTGTCGTCTACAGAATTTTAGTAAACACGGATGCCACTTAGGCAAGGCAAGTTGGATATAAATAAGCATGCCGTCTGACTGCTGTGGAATAAGGATGCAGAGACCTTACTTAAAATTTAAGGAAATTCTGACGTCGCAACAGAGACACCACTTCAATTCCAGACCACGTTAAGTCATGGGAAGAGAAATTTCTACAGTTCAGGGCGGACACAAAACCGACAACTGCCCGAAACTAGATCAAACATCCTCCACGACCGATGCCCTGGTAAGGTTAATTGATTTTCGGATTGAAACATCTACCTCAAAATATAGCTACCTCCTAACGGTCGACCTACTTATAACGATGAAATTCGCCCGAGAAGCGGAACAAGCGTCGTTGCACAATGAAAGAGTGCGACTGCGCGAATGGCAGAGGTGGAAAACGGCTTCGTTGGAGTTCAGGAGAAGGACCCGATTTTAAAAAGCACCATTCCCTTTCGAAAAGGACTATATATTCACATCAGGCATTAATTACTGGGAAGCGAGAGAAATGTACTTTATTGCTAAAGGTTATACTTCACATCTACCAGATGACAGAATGATTCCGTTTCCACCAAGACGGTCACTATAAAATTGTAAAGGTACACGCGTTTCTCAAAAGATCATTAGCTTAAATGGGCCGATTCCCGAAAACACAACATTCGAGACGGCAAAGTTATCTGCAAAATCATGTACACAGTGCGTATAAAAAGTGAGTCAGCAAAAAGGGAGGACACATATAGTCTTTAGCCTAGCTGCCTCAGCGTGCGTCCCCTACCGCTGACGAGCGAGAAGGCATACTGATTAGCCGGCGTCACACGCTAGCAACACGGGCCGCACTCGGGAAGCC